ATTGATTTACAATAAGGGAAATCTGTCCAGCTGAAAACCTGGGATATAGTCGAGGTTGGGATACAATAGGGGGGGGGATACAAATAAGGTCTGACTGTACATGCAGAATTGTACGTACACAGTATGTACATTATTAATACAAATTTTCGAAAAAATGTATTTTTCATATTAATAGGTTTTACTATTGATCAGCAAATTCTGGAAAATACTTTTTGGTAGTATCTTGTGGTGGATCATACATTTCTCCAGTATATATCTGAAAATGTCACCCCAACGATCATAAAGTATTGTCAACTTGTCATCATTAATACCAGGATAAGAGCATCTCTACATTTACAATTTCTTCCCAACTCCATGATTTCGCTATGGAATTCAAAACTTGGCGAGATCCGGGAATGTGGCACTCCAACAGAGATAATTTCTCAGTCTTTGTCTGTTCTTTTTCTAAAAAAAAGTTTAACTTTTTTTAAGTTTTTGGTATTTTTTTTTTTTTTTGAAATTATCTGGATTTTTTGAACTGTATAGAAATGAGCAGTTGATGGATAGATGAGTCACAAACGGTATATCAGACGTTTACAATTTGTTAAACTCTGTTCAATATGATGACACAGGACAAGCTCTACCCCTATTATTATGTACACATTACTCTATGTCCCCAACGCCCGAGTCACAAAGTCGTTACCTGTCGGAGCCGCTGGGAGTTTCAGCTGTAGCTCCCGCATTTGCGTCCTCCTGCTTCTCTAGCCTATCCAACTCTTTCCTCTCCGCGACGCTAAGCTCGATCTTGATGCTCAGCTCGTCCAACCTCTCCAACTTCGCTTTCACGTTGTCATACTCCTTCTTAGCGTCCCGGTATGCTAGTTGGGTGTTCATAAAGTTTGTCTACGTGCTGCGCAACGCATTCTATACTAATGCTGATCAGTTACCTAAAATCAAATTCGCGTTTTTCTAATAATTGTCCGCAGTGTATGATGAACAAACGGATATTCTATAAAAACAGTTATTTATCAAGACTATAAGAAACGATTTTGTTGATAGGTCGCTCAATCAGTAGAGAAGTATTGTTTTTTTTTATTTTTCTTCAAGTTTTCGTTTCTTCTTGACTCATTATTAGTTGGGGTTAAGGTTTAATACTTATTACTTTTTGTTCTTCTTGGTAAATTTCGTAAGTGATTTTTTCTTGATCTAGATATTCCTGGAGAGCTTGGGTATCATTTATTTAAAAACATAAGGGGCAATTTTTTCTCCTTGAGCTTTTTTTAGAATGCTTCTAATGGTGCTGTAATTCTTGGGTTCCATAATGGATTTAATATTAATGTAAATTAGTTTCATATATTTTATTTTTATATAGAGGTATATTAATCCTGTTATAGTATATATTAATCACATTCTGGTATGGTAAAGTGAGCATTAAAATTAACAAGTCCATAGCAATAGAGTACTATTATTACTTTTCAAAATGTCATCAGTCACACTGATCAATTTTACAGCCACATCATAATCAGCCCCTCAATTATAAAATGTTCACTTTGTCTTGTTTTGTTGCATCTGCCCCACATGACAGGCAAATCAGTCATTAATAATAATGAACTAAATTTCTTATTAGTGAATATGGGTTGTGGGATTTTAGCACATGGTCCAACTGGGAACATGTCAACAGTTTATTCAGACGTGGGAATTGAGTAGCTCTAAATTACTAACAAAGAATTAACATTTTTAATTTGTTATCATAAGTTAATACAGTACTGGCGGTTATCACAAAAACGATTATAAAAACGTGACTACAATCAGCCAATAAAATTGTGTTATGAGACCCGGTGCTGATTACATATTTGCGAAAATAATGATCTTTTTCCTTTGACATGGATGCAAGTAAAAACGAAGTGGGTTGTCAGGAGAATAAGAAAAAAAAAACAAACCGTTCAGGCACTGACAAGGCAACTGAGAAGAACAATAAAGATGATGAATTAAAGAATTGGATACTGGCTGACGATGTCGCGTTACCAGCCTTCATAGCCTGTCATCCTCCCGGGTGATGATTTTATTTATTTATATGCCAAGTATAAATAGGCTCCATCGATGTTGTATATATAACTTGTTATGCCAATCATCCTAATTCTTTAATTTACTGTCATTATAAAAGCGCAACGCTTTATGAGCATTTTAAATCGGCCGGTAAATATGTTTTACATATTCTTTTAATACGCGGAGGTCATTTATTTTATCGGGGATAATCATCATGTGACTGCGACATCATTATTATAATTAGTAGTTTAGTGGCTTACAAATTATTATCACATTTAGAAAAAACGATGTTGCTAAAATCGTTAGAAAAATGTGTAAATATAAATAAATATATTATCGTGAAAGAAGACAGATTATTTTACAGTGCCGATGGTATAGAGTGTAGCTCTTAAGCATTTAGCGTTAACATTGATTGGCACCATGTTGTCAATGAAGTAAGGTGCGCAACACATTACGAAAAAGACCTATTTACGACTTGTTATTACAGAAGAGACAGACAAACAAATAAGATTACTTTTATTAAATAAGTAATAAACGAACAACTATTATAAATACATAAAACATATTATTCTATTCTGTAATCTCTTTGTTCTGCTCCACCAGCACTGCAATCTTATTCAAAGCATTGGCAAATTTCGGAGCGTAATGGTTCAGCTTCTTGTTCGTTCGCTGATGTACAACCGAGGTCAAAATTATTCGACAAAGCAGATACGGTTTGTCTGATCCATGTGAGATGTTTCTTCCAGAAAATCTCGACATTTTTATTTCTTCTCGCAAAAACTCTAGTTCCTCGAGAGACCTATCAAACTTATCTTTAATGCAGATGGCCTCCTACTGAGTGCTCGTTTGTACGTTCTCAGCTGTCTGTAGCCCGTCAAAGTGTTGCCAAATCCAACAGTCGGAGGCGATAACGTCTGCCATAGTCAGCGGTTGAATCGCGGATGTAGAATCCTCAAAAAAATACGCTGACTGCTCTGAAAGATTGTTGTATGTCAGAATGCTCTCGCCTAACTTGCTGGCGGCTTTCGACATTGCTTGGGTAGTTTTTTTGGCTCGCTTATACCCAACTAGAAAAAAATTAAATAATTTTAGCTTTGTTAAAAACTTAAACTTTGATAATACGTTTCAAAAAGAATATTTACTATGTCCGCCTTTTGTCAACAAATATTTATAGTACTTTGTATTCTGAGGCCCAACTCTGAACAATCGAGAGTTGTTCTTTCTTCTTATGTTCAAAGTAGAGTTTGGCCGTGCTTTTGTACTGCTCTGTGTCCTCCGACCACCTTGATAGTTCCTGAACAATCTAATATTAGTATAGATTCGAATTATCCAAACATAAAACAATGTTATACGTACTGTATATTTTCTCTCGAGTTTTAACATAGCAGTGTGGGCTCTCTGCCGCTGTTGTAGTAGTTCTTGTTCTACTTTCTATATTATCCGAAGCAGCTGTCCTGTAAGAGACGCCAATAATATATATAAAAGCAAGGTACTTATCAAAACCTCAACATTATCATAAACTTACATTATGGTCGCACAGCATACGTTCACATCGATTCATATGTTAAATATGCTGTACAGTCCAGACTTGTCGGTTTACTATTTAATACGTTATCCAAACAGAAGCTGTTTACAAATCGGATCGTAATATTAGAACACATAAATAGGAGGTTTGTTGGCCTCCACAACCCACTCTTTTCAACTGTTAGCAAAAAACCATATATACTTTCGGATGCCATGGAGTTCCGTTTTCTCGTAGTTTTTCTTCTGATCTTGTTAACCGCCCACCAACACCTTTCCATTAAAGCAGAAAACGATGCCACTATTGACGGCTTCTTTGGTCGGAGTGGTCATACCAACAACTGGGCAGTATTGGTAAGTGATTAGCGTGTTTGTTGTCGATTAATGCATTTGCCCCATTTGTACCCAATTCTTATTTCCGTCTTTCATTAGGTATGCACATCGCGCTTTTGGTTCAATTATCGCCATATTGCGAATACGCTCTCGATATACCGTACTGTTAAAAGACTCGGAATTCCCGATTCTAACATAATACTAATGCTGGCTGATGATGTAGCGTGTAATGCAAGAAATGCTTTCCCCGCAACTGTATTTAACAATGCTGGCAAATATCTTGACTTGTATGGGGACAATGTTGAAGTGGATTATCGAGGATATGAAGTCACCGTTGAAAACTTTATTCGAGTATTGACTGGTATGAATGTCCATAGCCTTTGCTCCGTTTATTTGAGAGGTTTTTTGGAGACTAAGTCTCTCATGGCTTGTAGGTCGCGTCTCTCCGGAAACTCCTCGTTCGAAAAGATTGCTTTCTGACGATCGATCTAATATATTGGTATACATGACTGGACATGGTGGCAGCGAGTTTCTGAAATTCCAAGACGCGGAAGAAATCAGTAGCTATGACATTGCAGATGCGTTTGAACAAATGTGGGAAAAGAGAAGGTACATGATTTTTTTTTCACGTATAAGAAAAAAGGAAAATCGAGTTTGTATCAACGGCGATATTTAATTTGTAGATACCACGAAATCCTATTCATGATTGATACTTGCCAAGCGAATACTATGTACAGCCAGATTTATTCTCCTAATATATTATCAACTGGTAGCAGTAAACTCGGAGAGAATTCTTATTCGGTATGTTCTTTGTTTGTATCTATCCAAATCAAGAAAATTTATATTGAACAACCCCTTTACTTTTCATTCTTAGCATCACATGGATAACGAGATTGGTGTAGCCGTAATCGATCGCTTTACTTACTATAACCTGGAGTTTTTAGAAAAGATTGATATGCAGAGTAAAGCTACATTAAAAGATTTGTTTGAAACGTACGACCCAGCACAAATGCATTCGACTCCTGGAGTGAGGAGTGATTTATTTCGAAGACCTTTAGATAAGGTTCGTGGATATTGCAACTATCAATACACTTGGTTATAAATTAAACATGTTCTTTCAAACATGCCTAACAAAAAGACTTGAATTTAACAGGTTCTGGTCACAGATTTTTTCGGAAACGTACAGAATGTAGAACTCACAGATCACAAATACGAGCTAACTCAGCCCAGAAAGGAAATCAACATGACGTTCAAAGTGGTAAGTTATAAGATATCGCATACGTGAATTTATGTCACAAAGGGTTAATGACCGATGTAACATTTATATGCAGCAGCCGACTAGTAAATTAAAAAGTATCGGCAACTCATCCACACCGTCCAGTGAGCAGACCGAATCGCAAAATTTCCATCTATTCCAAATGGATGCTAAAGTAGCAAGGACTGCTTTGCCTCTAGAGTTTGTTATCGGATGTTTGATATTTGGTGGCATAATAAAACTGGTCTCTGACAAAGTCTGATAACAGCCGTAATGAAGCTCATATAAAAAACGATCATTCTATTAATTAGAAAGATGTCCAACTCGTTTTCTTTTACATCGACGCATGCATGCACGCAGAACGCACACAACCGCCTCGTCCATGATAGCATTACGAAGATCGTAAAGAATACCCAATGCTTATGACGAATTAATTAAAAAGGTTCCTATTAGACATTACGTACCAGCAGCCAATAGATCAATACATGAAATAGTAATGGTGATTTTGTTATCCACCTCTTTATTATCACATTAAGAACTAAGTCGTAATCTTTAAACGTTTTACTGTATTGAAGGACAAAAGAGTCAAACATAAGTGACCATACGCTAAACTGATCAATCACATCATAATCGTTACCTCTTCCATAGCATCATCTTCCGCGGCCTTGCCCTTGCCTTTACTTGCGGTGGCGGACCTATTCTTTCGTTCCAGAAGATTTCTTCTATCTTTATCTAGCTTCAATTTATGAACAACAACTTTCGACGGATGGATACCAAGGTGTACAATGCCGCCATTCTGTTTTTCCTTGGTGATGCGGTCGATGTGAATAACCCATCTCTTACGATAGACCTGAAGCACTTTGCCTTCACGACCTTTGTGATTACCACGCACGATTCGGACTTCATCATCTTTTCGTATGGGTATTGATCGGGTCTGATTAGAATGTTGATCGGTTAGTGTTCGATTTCATAATTACTAGGGCATAAATACAAATGCAAAGTGTATATATATATCGTACGTTGTATCTATCCCTGAGCTCCTTGGTCAAGTTTGCACTCATTATTCTTCTTCGAACCGTCGAAGAGGCAGAGAAATGTGTCTTACGGCTCTTACGTCTTGAAGAGCTCACATCTACAATTGAGCAATAGTGCTTAGTTCACGCAATTCATCCATCCATTAACAGGATGACATTATACAGTATGTTTTTGTGGATAAACTTGACGAGGAATATGTATATTCATGAACTTGCCCTTTGAGAGTTTTGCCATCGTGCAACAAAGGTCACAGATATATAGGCAAGAAAAGAGGGAGAATCAACGATAATTAGTGTTTGATCTTTAACTGAGATTAGAAAATCGTATGACGTCAGAAATAATTAAATCACGTGAATCAAGTTAACGCGATTCACATAAGTTATTATTATGAAATATAATAATAATAAACTTTAAATTAAAAGTATCTTGGAAGAGGGAACTAGTCTCTTTATTATTAATAAATAGTGCGTTTCGAAGTATCTGATGCGACCGAAAAAAAAAAAGAATATTTCTAAAAACACTTTTTAGTTTAAGTTCTATCACATGACTTGCGGTTGCGTCGGGTGTTAATATGATTGCTGGCTTTAAAGATGAAACAGAGTCTCTCAGTTAGCTTAATTTTTGGAAGCTAGAGCGCGATGTTCAATCATATCCATGCAGATCAGATCGTTTTGACATAAGCTATGGAAGACTTTTTTTTCTGTTTGATCGATTTTTGATCGATATTGTTTATTCCAATGAATTAAACGCGTATGGTACAGGCTATGATGACGGACGTAAAATGGTATAAAGTGAGCAAAACACACTTTCAGCTGAAATTCAAAATGATTAGTAGACAATGAAAATACTATATTTAGCTACACCATAGGACTTTGCCAATCGAAAAGTTTACACCTTCAAAAGTCAATAGCTGCCTAAACCACCAAGACCTCTTTTTTTTTTTCTGGTTTCCCGGTTTCAAACGATGACCGACCATTCGTGCGGAATCTCACCATACTGAATCTTCATCAGTTCATCAGCAATTCTCTTCGCAAGAGGCCCAGCATTTGACGAAGGATCACTTGGATCCAATGGTATTTTTATATCTCGTCCTTTGTAATAAATCTCTTTGATAGGACTAACGATGCATGCAGTCCCAGTACCAAACATTTCGAGTAACCGTCCTTGCTCAGACGCTTTAACGATATCCGACATACAAAATTTGCGTTCACTGACTTTGAACTTGCCCCACGATTTCGTGAGCGATAATACTGAATCTCGCACAACACCTGCGAGTATTGAGCCATCCAATGGAGGTGTCATAAGTTCGGTTTCTTTTAACCAAAAGTGTAAAATATGATGTGTGTGAAATCAATACTGATGATTTTACAGCTAACCGAAATCACGAAACTTTCAATATCAAAAACCCTACCTCCATTTTCATTTTTCCAAAACGTAAAACAATTCATAGTTCCAACTTCGGTGATCTCATGATTATCTCCAAATAGCCACAAGTTTTGTTGATATCCTTTCTCTGCCGCCAAGACTTGCGGCTGTACGCAAGGCGAGTAATTTCCTCCAATTTTCGCATCTCCAGTGCCACCTGGCCACGCGCGGACATTCTCAGTGGTTGCATATAATCGCACTGCATCAAATCCGGTTTTATAGTAAGGTCCAACAGGTGAGCAGATGATGAACAGCAACGCCTGCGAAACTGGACCAACCCCGAGAGTATTTTGAGTGCTGATGAGCGTCGGGCGGATGTAGAGAGAGTACCCGCGTTCGTTTGGAATCCAGCGGGAATCGAGACGGAGGAGAGATTTTAAGCATTCAATCAATTCATTGCCGTTGAAAGTCTGGTAATGTTAGAGTGGAGGGAATAGAGGGGTAAGAAGAAATTAAGCAGAAGTGGGGAGGATCAAGAGAACTAAAAAATGTCATCAGTGATGGAATTTTAGCTACAGTATGTCGAATCTGGCTATCTTGTTTTAGGATTTCCATCTCTCCGTCACTTTTTTATGACGGTTCCTTTCACCGGTCTCTCTTAAAATTCGCCCATTATTGACCATCCTTAACATCTTCTTCGATGTTTATGACAACTCGCAACCGCGTCCCTCCCTTAAAGCTCTCCAAACCCACCGGTAACGCAATTCTCTTCGCGCTATTATTAAACCTCTTCATATTCATATCCGGTCTAAACAACCTCGTCCTCCCATTTTTATCTTTATAAGCTTTTAAACCTTCGAAACACTCGAACGAATAATGAAACACGGACGCACTCGGTTCAATGCTAAGCTTGCTGTACTCTTTTATCACCGGGTCAGCCCAACCACTGTCTCTTGACCATTCGATAGTGAGCATATGGTCAGTGAATGTACGGCCGAATACGAGGTCTTTATAGGGAGTCAGCTGCTTTAACGTCGTAGCGGGATGAACTTTGAGCTTTGTGTGCTTTATTTTTACAAAAATGAAAGAATAAAAGGTTAGAAAGCAAAAGCAGTGATAAGTAAAGATAACTAAAAGAATGAGAGGAGTGCATTACGTCGATATCCCGAAGTAAAGTGGAATAAAACCGACCATTTTTCGGCAGACATAACTGACTAACTCTGGCCCGTAATATACTCAAATTGTTCAATCTACTGTAAATCATTTTATTACTATATTTCGTTACTATATCTTTCCTTGTTTCTACAGTATTTAAAGAAAAATATTAATATTTATCTCACCTTGACTCATAATGACTGGTGGTCCGTGGGAAAGTAAATAAGCAATACGATTGGATGTAGGAATTGAGATTTTTAATAATAATTATTATTATTTACAGTATATACCGGAACTTTTCTCTACCGGCCGGACTGATTCTTTTCGTTTCATGCGAAAAATTCTTTGTTTATACCGGAATCTCTTATAAACCGGTTCCGTTATAAACAACAAAAACGCAAGCTTAGGTAAAAGGCTAAGTACAGAAGACGGATTTGAAGATTCTGAGCAACTTTGCTTTGGCCAAGAGATTAAATTACAAGAAAATGATGCGGTTTGGTTAATTTATTTTGTAACAACTTCCTTCTATTAATTTCCTCTCAGTCTATTACTGTATTCTTATTTTAATGACAAACAAAGAATTCTCGTATTTTGTAATTTATCCATCGCTACCAAAAAATGCTAAACACAAAACACCAATCTCTTTTAAATCATAAATTTGATCAACGTGAAGGATCATGACCTCTTTCTTTATATTCGGTCAAAATTATCGATATAATGTATGGAATAAATCGTAACAAGAGGACGTTAACAAATATAAACAATTGTTGTTTATGTATAAAGGTAAGGATTTGCCAGTCATTGTTCGTTCATATCAAATTGTGTATAAATGCTGTTATACCGCGACTGTCATTCGACGCGTTAAATACGATGGATGATTGATTGCGTTAATTATATATTGACTATGTATTTCGTTTTTCATTTGAGACCATTATTGTCCATTACGAATATAGGATGTTAGGACAGAATTAAAAATAATCAAAATCTAACAAATTCCGATATCCCTTTTCATTTTCGGTCCACATGTTAGCATATTTACGATAATAAAAAGTTGACCGTCTCTCTGTCAATTGGTTAATCCGTAACTAGCATGACTGATATTTATACGTATAATCGAATCTGCGGCTTTCTGTAAACTTCTGATACCATATTTTCCATTGAGGGGACGCATTCTATGCAAAAGCAACAATTAGCATGTAAAAACCCCACATTCATCTTTCCAACCGTCCAGCTGGCTACCGAGTCCTTGCGCGAGGAGAAGTTGAGACTAGTACACAGATCTGCTGGCAGATACACATATTCAATAAGAATACGAATTTCATTGACGAACAGGGTTATGCATTCGATTCCTTGTCCATACATATAATGAATTCCGCTTGTGACAGAAGCGCAAGTAATCGATTGGGGATAAACGTCTCCTATCATATTCTTATGATAACTGTATTGTCATTTGTTATCCAATAAATATAACAGTAACATTTATATCAAAGCTTGCACAACAAGACTTTTTTTTTTCCAATAAATTATTGACGTCTAAGATCAAACGCAATCTGGCATAACCAGATTTCACAGTTGCTTTTGCATTATCACCCCGCGTTAAAACCTGTCCCATTCCATTAGTAATCTCTATTCGGGTCAGTATATCTATTTGAGCTGCTCTTCACGCAATAATACTTCCGCGTCCAGCTTTATTAATATTGTCGTGCGTAAAGGATATCCTTCTATTGGAAGCGTATGTGATGTGACACGGGCAGGCTGCAAAAGCGAATAGTCAATGGAGATTAATATTCAGAACAGGAAACGTGCCAACGATAGACACATGAAATATTCTCTAGCAGTCGCATACAAACTGTGACCCGTCCAGGATGGCTTCCACAATTCCCGCCAAGAATGCTCCGCAATTCAAGGATGCCAAATCTTTCGGTACGGAAATAAATTTACTAATTATCGGTTCGTTATCTGAAATCATGTCTGGGTGAACCAAATGGACGATATTTTCAGTATGCAGAAAGAGGTTTAACTCGTCATCTTTTATGGAATCATATCTTACATTCATCATTATTTTCTGTACTCTTCTCAAGCGAATCAGCCTGTTTTCCAAACAGTGCCTTCCATACGGTCGTGTGAATAAAATATAGGATGTCCAATACGGTTATTTCTCGCCTGTTGTTCTTCTCCCGCCACGTAATCAGCTCCAAAAATCGTGTACCAACACGATAGCCAAAATCATTCAATCTGATGATAAGAGTCGTTACGGATAGACGATGGATCAAATTGTTAATTTAAAACAGAAAGCAACGCGTAAAACTCACACATTGACATAAACTTGCTAGAAATCGGCCTTTCACCCTCCAGTCAAGTGTCATGAATCGGACATACTTTCGTTCGAGATCTTGAATACCCTGAACACGCTTCTGTGTATACTGCAGCATTTCCGAAAATAAGAAAGCGAAGGCGCTCAGTCCGACCTAAACGTCAGAATATCTCATTAGTTGCTCGGCCCGGACGATCGACGCATTTACTTTTTCTCTGCCAAATTCTTCTATCAGTTTGTTCACGTTTCTTTCATTTTCGTTTTTGCGGATAGCCATTTTACCTCGGCTGATCTACTCTTGTTTAGATTCCTTTCTACAATCGATGTTCGCCTAGCATATCGTGTATCATGTAGGGAGGAAGTCATTGAGAGTCTTGTATTCTGAGACATTGTGAACGGAGAGGATATAACAAGGGTTGGTTGTGTAATGTCTACCTTGCCCTATTACATTACAGATCACATGCCGATCTCACAAACAAACAAAAATTATTTTATGCAAACCCACAATACGCGTCAACTGAATGTAGTTTTGACAGAAACCAAAAGTCAGTTTCACACGCTTTACCACACCCTCTAAGCAAATTGCTTTGATAACAACTTTGTTATCTGTTCGTTTACACGAATTCACTCAATATTTAGGTTTATGTAGTTTTTATTTAGCACAGCGAATCTTTTTATATTCTTGTCTGCACCAATAATATTTCACAAAAAGCTACATAAGTCTCACTTATTTGGTCTCAACGCCCTTCCTGTTCATATTTATAAAGGGTGGTTTGTTGAGGGCCTCAAAAAAGATGACTTTGCGGGTGTAGCCGAGACAAGCTCAAGCTATGGAAAGGGAAAACCTGACGATTCTATCGTATTGCAGAGTTCGATTGAAAAAGATGAAACGGTATTAAAATTCACAAGTATATTTACCCGTAAAATCATCCGCATATTAGTATCGAAAGGCATCTCCACGTTTAATGTAATCATAAAGGCTTTCTCGGATTGGTCGTTTTCGGAAAAGTCTGTCAGCTTTATGTATATCCCGTTTTTTCATGCGAAAAATCTCAAGAATCTTATGAGTGAACTGGAACTTCATATAAAGACTACTCCACTCGAAATCTATTTATTCCTACTGCTGTCTAGCTAGTGGAGTCTCGCTCTATGAAGATGATTTCAAAATCATACCGAAAAAGAACTCGTTATCGTTAGATGAACTGTAGCAACGTAAATCTAAGACTTGTCTATTTTCATCCTTTTTCGACGTAACAATTTACGGTAGCGACTACGTTATTCTCGCTCATTCGCTACGTATTATGACTATAAACGCAACGATAGATCGCAGAGATATTTTACGCATTGTTTACTTGTGTCGTATATGCTATTTCGGAAAAGGCTAGTCGAATTTTGCCACATTTGTGGCATAATTAATAATAGACACGTTAGCTGAACGTTGAATCCCGACGTGTTAATATCGGTTTCCTTGGCCCCGGATGACATAAGCAACGTAGTTTGTATCTATTACGCTACAGTCAAGCATTAATATCGCCCACACTACCAGCATTTGGTTGTTTAACATCTATACTGCCATAATTTAAAAAAGCCGGCGTATGGCGAAGCTAAAACGCAAACAATACGTCATGCGAGCGAGACCTTAAACGCAATCAACACGTCACGCTCGAAACTATTATAGTTTAATTCAAAATGATTGTCGCTCGTGCACGCAGTCGGCGAGGAATCTTGGAAAACAATAAAAATGCAAGATTTTGTCTCAACTCGACATTTTATTTTATTTTATTATATCTGGGTATCATGTCGAAGGAAACGAGAGTATGTTCCGTGTTTTGCGGGTAGCATGTTCTGCGCATAACGATAAATGTATAACTTTTCTTTGTCCTAAATTCAGACACTGGAGGAAAAAGACATTCAACCGGGTGACTATGTCGGCACTAACTTTAGAGGTGGTACACGACAGGGCTATGTTGAGCGAATAGCAACTACAAAAGAAGAAGATCAGAAACCAAAGGTTGTTAGGCCACCCAAAGTAATCTTTAAAGACCAGCATGGACATGTAGTGAGTAAACAGGAGAGACGATGTTTGAATATCTTTATCGCGCGTATACCGTATTGATGGAAATGACTTGTTTTCGATTAGGTAGCACATAACCCCAGTACATTATGGAAGGATGAAACTAAAAGTGAGCGAGAGAGCAGTGGTATTAAAGCAGAACAAGAGAATTACTTTAAAGACGAAGACTATAATGAAGAAGAAGACGAAGATTATAAACCACCGCCAGAAGGCGAAGAGGAGGATGAAGACGAGGAAATTAAACCAGAGGAAATCGAGGAAATGAAACAAGAGCTTAATATTAACATGTAATCAATCGTAACGAAAAGTAATCCGTCTCGATATAGCGACTCGTCAATGTTCATTCGGGTCTCAATAAGATGTCATATACCTGAACGTCTGTTCGTTAGATTTAATATTTAGAGAATTTAAAAGTTTTGATTGTTGTGAAACGCGCAAGCATTCATAAACATGCCGGTTGTGTAATATTATCTTTTCATCGTTAATTTGCTTACCCACGAGTTTGACACGGCAAGATCGTTACCTATTTTAATTTGCTCGCTTTGGATGTTAGTAACGGGTGACGTAGTCAAAAGATTAAGATATTCAAACAACTTTCCAAATCAACGTCGTACAAATAATACTATATAATAATAATAAAAAAACCGTAAAAGAAAAATCTCGGTTCTCAAATAAAAATATCCAAATGATTCCCGTAACAAGACGCGTGCTACAAACGAATCAGTCTGTGCGCTACTTTTCACAGAGTACAGCCCAAACTCTTGCCCAACAGAAAATTAAACTTCCTCAGATTCGAGATCAGCAACTTCTGAACGCTGCAATAACATATGACATTGATGGAAAGCAAAAAGAAAGACAACAGAACAAGCTCAATTTCGGTCGTTTGGCGTTTTTGGGCGATAGTTTAGTCGACTACAATGGTATCTGCCCAACATTATTATTCCGTTTTACCGTGAATCTCTCTACGAGTCATTCATTGCCTTTCTTCATTTTGTGTAAGTTTGCCGCCACCTCTTTACCAAATACCCATCGTTTTCGGCGGGTGAATTATCAAACTTGCGCGCGTTGCTCGTGAATCGTCGTCAATTGGCGCGGTTTGCGCATGACACCGGCCTAGATACTCTTATAACCTGTAACAGAGTCACTGAAAAGGACAATCCAAACGTTCTCGGTGAAGCATTGGAGGCTTATATTGGTGCACTTTATCTCGACTATGGCGAAGAAGGTGAGCGTCAGGTGAGGGAGTTTGTCATCTGTCTGATAGATTCCAAGATGACAAATATCAGAGAATCGTGGGAAGTGTTGTCCAATATGAATATCAAATGATTCTTAGTAAGCGGTCTACGAAGGAGACTGGGTTGACCAACAATTCTTCTTTACGTATTATTTGTTTAACCGAATGTATAGCTTTACCCAGACAGCCGTCACGACGGACACGGTAAGCGTACGAGAATTTATGTTGTAGATGAAAATTTGCTGTTCGTGGTTTATGTCATGACATATCACGTATATTCTGGTTATAGAGACCCGTTCTAGTGACTTTGTCAAACACTGTGAGATCATATCAGGAAAAATTGTCCACGCTGTTAGAAGTAACATCAGACCGAATGGCAAAGTTTACACAGATGACTCAGATACCTATAGCAAACTTTAGGCCAATGTCTACAACAGTCGTAAAGGAGGAAGCGGTTACAGGACAGGTGGCAACGCCTGCAACGACTACTGTGAGTTATTGGATTAGATCTGATTTTAATTGACCCGCTCGTGATTGGTAAAGTTAACTTTTGTGAGATCTTAATAAGATAACACAACCGAGTACGCCAATACAACCAAATAGCAAAGTCAAGAAACTAACCAAGAAGCAAGCTAGAAAGCAAGCCAAAAAGCTACTTCATGAACAGAGGATGCTAGCAAGGGCTCAGGCATCGTTGAAATTACATCAACAACAACAAGTGCAGCAAGACCAGGTGCAAAAAAACCAAGTGCAGCAAGACCAGGTGCAAAAAAACCAAGTGCAGCAAGACCAGGTGCAAAAAAACCAAGTGCAACAATCACAACAGCAAAAACGAACACAGCAACAGCAATCAAAACGACTACAATTACCAGAACAGCCACCCCCATCGTTATCACCACCATCACCACCACCGGTACAAGCCCAGCAGCAACAGCAACCGCGACAACCGTCGTCATCGTCCCCGCCACCGCCACCACAGAAACGTTTTGGAGGCGGGGGTTGGTTTACCAGACTGTAAGTGCAAATGTATCATCAGTCTACAATTAATAATAATCGTCAATACTAATTGCATTGTTGGTATTTCTACAGGTTTGGGAACTAGTGGCAGCGTCTTGTATAAAAAGTACACCAAGCCTACTACTTAAATAAATCGTTGATGGGAATAATTCTAGAAGACAAATACTTGTTTATTACTCTCTTTTAATGGCATCCAAAGTTATTGCTATAATTTATATTAAACATGTTAGAATGGCTTGTTCAACTGTTAACAGTCTGCCAAGCTTTTCGGCAAAATATTTTTTTTATTAATTAATGAATCACCTGCGTATCGCCATAGTTACACCTTGCAGCAATCAAACGTTAGACAGTTTTCATGGTTGGCAAGCATGTAATTAGAATGCCCAAAAGTCAATCGCGAGCCATTTCGATTGGAAATGTTGTATTCAAGAAGTTTTGACAGTTTCACATTGGTTTGTTATATTCCCGGAATGCACAATCGTATCAGATTTGCACGTCGCGATTCACAGGTATTTCATGTTTTCCAAACCAGGACTAGCAAGGGAACGTCCGCTGTTGGAGGACTTGCGTTGTTCTAACTCACGTAGTTTTTGTTTCGGGTAACATTTCATCAGTTTCGCGTAATTACGTGACGGTTAAAGTATCCAGGACTGATTAGTCTTCGTTTTTAATAGAATTGGCATATACATTTCTTTAAAAATTTATTGGGATAGAATCCTTTAATTTTGTAAAGATTTCAGGTAAACTTTTTATGTGTAAAATTTGAGGCGTTTAAATTACACACGAAGGTAATTGTACTCTTAAATCGATGTTTTAGCAAACATGGTAGTGGGTTATATAGGAATGCTTTTCGCGAGTCCATTAGTACGCGTAATAATGGATGGCCAAAATAAAAGTTAAATTTTAGAAGTTGATTATACGAGTTTCTATTCTTATATATCATACGTTAAGAGGAGATCATTGAACAGGTACCAAGACGAGAAGATGGAATGTTTAGTCAATTAATATCAAATATATTAATTCACGGTCTCAAAAGTTCTAAAATTCAAAAAGTTTTAATAAAATCGGATGACTCAAAAATTCTAATTACGAGCCTTGTGTCCCTTGAGTGCTCTTACCAGTAGGCTCTATTCTCATTGTGAAAATGGCTAATTCTCCTCTTAAACTTACAGACAACATCAATGACATCCTTGTCACCGGTTTTCTTCGCGAGGCGGCTGCGTCCCCTCACCGTGACAATAGGGCTCTGTAGTGTCGATGCTTAGTGATGAGGCCACCGACTTAGCCAACTTTATTACTTTATTCTAATCTCTATTCTCTAATATCTCACTTAATTTTTAATTATCTATCTTAGAGAATAATCCTTTTTCTAGGCGAATGATTTTTACTATTGCTAGACGAATGATTATGTTGACTCTTATGATCCGTGTTTCGTAATACACTTGTCGCAGACTTACAATGGGTTCACATCTCGAATATAATTGAGGCAAAGGATATATTCTCCATCGGACTTTCTATACTATTCGTAATATCTGAGATCTGAGGTCCAAGAATTAGCGTGAGAATGAGTAGAGATTGAGATATAAATCTATCCCTTTCCTCCTCCTCCTCCTCCTCCTCCTCGTCCTCCTCCTCGCCTCTCGTCTTCAAAAAGATAATGCTCTTCTGTTAGTGAGGTGCCTTTGAGATTCGTACAAACGATGACGTTTTCACTAAATTTATTTTTTATTTATTCGCCACAGATAACTCGGTCATTCGGTCATTATGTAATCGAGACGTTGCGTTGAAGGAAGAGTCGTGTCAAGGATATCTACGGTCATAAAGGTGTTTAGCTTTGCATTTCCCAGATTCATTCAATGACGTTATACTAAAACTATTATTCATAGAAATTACATAATCGTGTTTTAACCGACGTGCATTGCGTGCATTACTGAGCTCTAACATTTTATACGTTATATAGGTGAAGCACCAACACACTATTCACCAGAAGCCAATTCTTCTCTTTCTCGACCGACAGTCGTCCCCCCTCGTCGTCTCATGCAGCAGGATCTGTCCCTACGCCGGAATCTCCTGCTCCATTCTCCAATCGCTTCACCCACTATCACTATCTCTCAACATCGACATTACTGGTGCGAACAACGTGTTCGGTCATTCGGTTATTAATATTAAGTAATCTTGAAGACATTGAAGGGAATGAAGTAACAAGGAGTCGTGTCAATGTATTCATATTGTCTATAATATCAATTGACTACAATATTTCTTGACCATGAGGCATATAATACGTCGATGCAATATAACTTCCAGACATTATGTAAGTAGCGATAATTCTATTTCGAACGTTCAAGCTCCACGTTTGATTGTAACTTATGAAAGACAATAGTGACTTAAACATACAATAATATGATTTTTTAATTTGTAGTTCAGACGTTCAGATATATTTGATCTGTAAGTAATGCATCTCTCTTGTAATCGATTTATAGTCGACAGCAGTAACTTATGTTTAGAAAATTAAAGCTCTTCTTACGTATTTGTAACAAGTGCATCAGTTCGGCAATTACTACCGTTAAGGCAAAACAGAACATGTCGTCTAATACTAAGTAATTCATCGCTCCTATAATCGATTTACGGAAGACTTATACTTGTAATGATAATAAACAATATGATCTTTGATCTTACTAATGACTATTTATTTTTCGCTCAAGAAACCTTGAATAACTAAGAAGGCATACAAGACGTTATGCGAATCCAAAATATATAAATAAACCATGATCATATTCTGTCTCGACGCTAAACAAATATTGAATTTCCATAACTCAAACATCACTGACCTTTTACCTCAAACAAAAACTTTTACCAAATGTCTCGAATCATTGACAACTTTTCTTTTTGACTCATTGGCACCATACGAATCAATCGTTGATTTTTCTGAGCCAAGTTCTCATATTTTCCCCGAATCATCTTCCCATCGATCTGACATAATTTCCCCTTCAGTTAACGCGTCTGTTCCAAGAAATTGAGCATACGTTTTGGCGTCCTTCCGATGCTCTGAAACAGATTTTACGTAAACTTCACGAATCAGATTATGCTCAATTTCCCTGTATTCCCTGTTCATATTGTTCTCGTTTACTATTACTATGTCAAGTGGATTATTCGCCAAACCAACTACACGTTTCCATTTGAGAGTATACAACCTCACGTACCTCTAACTGTCCATCCACAATATAACGTGAAAGTAGCAGTGTGTGCATCGTGCACATTAAAGCCCTCCTCATGGCCCGTCCTGGCTGAAATTCCCACCTGCATCGAAAATGTGCCATATGGAAAGCGAAAATACTTATCACCCGTATACTTACACTCGAGCCTTGGCAGATCATCGAATCTATCTGCTTATTCAGAATACCGATCACTCAAAGGACAGTTTGGATACTCGAAGAACATGCGATCGTTATCGCTTTACTCTGGCATGCTAGGTGCATTTCTTGAAAATATAGATCAATCATCTGCAGAAAACCGCTGGTATCATCCTTCCTTAAGAGAAGCTTGCGAATGGTTACAACAAAACAATCCATACTTGAAATCCTACCACTCTCTCGCCTCTCATTTGTTGCAGAACAATGACTTCACCGCGAACCCGATATGGCCTTCCGCTACCCATGTAGAAACTGACCAGCATATACCACCCGTTCATCGTGGGGATGTTGTAGTACCTCCATATGACTTTCCCGATGAAATCCATAATGAAGATTCCCATTACAGTCGTTTAGCCGTCGGGTTCTATGCACAAGAGATGATATGAAGATACTGATTGCCCTACATGATCCCGAATTGGAAGCGCTTCTGTATCCCGATCTATTTCCTGATGGCCATGGACACTATGGCGAACTCCAACAAGATGCCTTATCTGCTAATGATAAAGCTGAGACGTATGGAAAATATATTAAGAGCAGAATCTTAGGTTACGATCCACGTTTTAGACTGCACCCTACTTGGCCGATGTGGTCATACTTACAGTTGGAGAAGTATCGTAATTTTCAAAACAACATGTGCATAGTTCATCAAAGGCGAATAGATTCTGAACATAATCACCCAACTGCTGCAGAATTGTTGAGACAGAGTAGTTACAAGACAACTAATCTCATTATACACGAATCCTTGATGATGCCGCTTCCAACATTCATCCGCATGGGGAGACTCTTATTTTCGTGAAAAAGAACTCCATCTAAATACAATGGTAAAACATTTGGGACTGTCATCGTTATTTATCACACTTTCAATGGCTGAAAACAAATGGGAGCATCTTAAAGAAATTTTGAAGAACACTGACAATCAAGACACATTACTTACAAACTGCCATTCTATACAATGTGTCATTTTATCAATCGATCTCGATCAATGAAAAAGGCAGTTTGGAGAAACAGTTGGGGTACAGTTGAAAACTTTTTCACATACATACCTGTTTATGGATAACATCCACTGTCGAGCAAATGATTATATCAAATCAAATCCGCAGTGACTTGCCAGACCCAAAGCATGAACCAGAATTGTATCAGAAGGTCATCACTCATCAAATACACACTTGCACTGAGTGACATTGTGGAGGTTCCCCTGTGGAAGGTGAACTATGTTCAAAATTTTTCCCTCATCCATATTCCTCATATACATATCATGACAATCACTCCTTATGATTCATATACAAGAGGATTGTTGGGTCATACCTTACCACATGAATGCTCAATATGTCACCACAAAAGGATTTGCCCATTACCAAGTTGAACCTGCTCACCTGTTCAACATATCTGAAGGAAATGATGGAGATGATGTTCTTAGTACTTGGTGAATATATGATTCATCAGCAACAGTTAGTTACCTTCTGACAGAGCCTCCCAAGTCATGATCAAAGACTGTTCAACCAACATACCAAATCCTCCTAAACCCAGATGAGCCCTATTACAAAGATGCTATTGAAAAATATCTCTGTCAGCCTTTAACAGAAGAGTTTGACAATATTAAATACAGTGATTACTACTGATTCTATGAAATCAAGTCACCAAACTTCCAATCAAGTCAAAAAGCAGGAACTGACCTGGATTGGACAAACAATAATATGCTGCACTAAACTATGAGGACATGCTTTTAAACTATCAGATAATGAAACATATTTCTATCACCTGTTATTGCAAACACACCCATAGAGATCAGAAGATAAAATTCTTAGTAATTTCCCTACATACTGAAAACACTATCTCTCCTTATTTCCTGATGAAGCAGAACAATTTCAAACTAAAGTGAGATCTTATATAACACAGAGAAAATTACAACTTACCTTACAATTTGGAATCCTAGTTGATTCTCTGATTCAAACGTTACAGAGAGAAATTGCACTTAATAATATCGACATCATCAAATATCAGCTTGATAAGCTTAAAAAGATTCTTCCTCCTTCACCACGCAATATCACCATCACTTTACCACCAGAACAATACAAAATTATGAAGATAACAGCCTATCAGCTGCATGTGTAATGTGATGGAAACAAGTGCACTTATGGAAACCACCGAGGCCCACTCGTCCCGCACCACAGTACAAACGTGTGGCATAGTGAAATTGCCACCGACAGAAAAAAGCGACTGCATGTTAAGATAGGAGATGCCCTCTTTATGAAACTTTTGTTGAATACATTTATAAATTTTAACAATTTTTCATAAATAAACACCAGTCAATCACGATATAATAATATTACTTTAAATGTGTACACTAGATTTTCTTCTACCCGGCTAACAATAGACATGTACGATTTTATTTCGATATGACATACGAAAATCGTATTATAAGGAGAGTGTTTGAGTCACTAAATTATGATACAATAGACAATTTTAATATTGTAAAACTTCAATCATTAATCTCCATACCTGCAACTGAACCATAACTGTTTCTTGATGTAGGAAAAGCTCCCATTATTAATTTATTTAAGTGTGTCGTTTATCATAAAGTTTACAGGAGGACAGCATGTTACGAAGGAAGGGGAAAAAACAAAAGAGGAAGAAAAGGGAGAAAGAGAAGAGATTTAAATAGATAAAATACAATAATACGTACGTATGCATATAAGTACATACGGTGTATTAAAAAAAACCCCCTTGTAATTTTTTACATGCAATTCGCGACGCTAAATGAATCTGATAATTAAGGTTAACATTTGGCGTTTTTATAAAGGCATTTATTATGTACATGCTTGGAGTAATTAATTGTAAATGCCTACGTCTGAGCAAGAAACTCAACGGTAAGCATATTACATTTATACGAGATGCCAAGGAAATCTATACTCAAACAATCAACAACATTAGAAAAATAAACCCGCGAAATACAAATTTAGTCAAGGAATGTTTTGAGTCACTAAAATATAAGCAATAGACTATATTAATATTGTAAGCCGACTTCATCAATAACCAATTGTTGTCTTCATACCTGCAGCTGAATCCAAATCATAGCTATTTTTCAGTTTAGGCAAATCCCCAGCAGGTAAAAGCGTATTAGAATATTTACTCTCTTTTTCGAGACGTGATAACGGTTTTACGTCATTATGATAGATAGTATTCCACTTGTTGTTA